TATATATCAGTTTACCAGTTAGGACATTTTCTATTCTGTTGCAAAGAGCTTTATGTCCTACAACAACATCACACTGTTTTAATGCCTGTAAATGTATTATTTGACTTAAAATCTGTGCATAGCAGTGTCAGAATTGTTAATCCAGGGTGTTATACATTTTTTGTGAAGATTAAAAATACTCTGTAATGCCCTCTATCATCCAGAAGTGCAATTCATAGATAACATCACCTAGTGACACACAAGATATTGCCCAAACTGGAATACAAAAGAGAAATGAAAGAAATTATTTATAATAAAATAGTCTATATTTCAATTTCAATATGTAAATGCTCAAGCACTATTATACCTGAAGATATAATGAAAGAATGAGTCCCTTGTATCTATATTAGTTTAGAATTAAGATGACATAATATTCAATAAAAAATTCTTTTTTTTTTTTTTGAGACAGAGTCTCACTTTGTTGCCCAGGCTAGAGTGAGTGCCATGGCATCAGCCTAGCTCATAGCAACCTCAAACTCCTGGGCTCAAGCAATCCTCCTGCCTCAGTCTCCCGAGTAGCTGGGACTACAGGCATGTGCCACCATGCCCGACTAATTTTTCTATTATTTAGTTGGCCAATTAATTTCTTTCTATTTATAGTAGAGACGAGGTCTCGCTCTTGCTCAGGCTGGTTTCGAACTCCTGACCTCCAGCAATCCTCCCGCCTCAGCCTCCCAGAGTGCTAGGATTACAGGCGTGAGCCACCGCGCCCAGCCTCAATAAAAAATTCTTAATGCTTACTTTTTATATTTGATGTTTTGAAACAAGGGCTTAAGAAATATATCTGTATATTCATACCCATAAATCTATATCTAATCACCAAGAATGTGATAGTGGGAAAAACAGACTGAAGTACCTTGCTACTGGTGACATGATCTTCTGTAATGGGGAATAATTCTTGGGAAAGTTCAGAACAAATCAAAGTACAATCTCTCCCCAACTTAATGACATTCCTGGAACATTCAATCTATATTATGATTATGCCAAAAATACTTAACACATGTAAAACGTGGTTAAGTTCTTGGCTCTGATAATTATGAGAGGTTTTTTTTGTTTTTTGTTTTGTTTTGTTTTTTTGCTTATGTGACAGGATCTTTGGAATTTGTACAAGATAATTTTCAGTTGTGCACGATGGTCTTACATATTTCAAGATGTCAAGCACAACATCAAATTTCCAAAATGCCCTCTAGGGGGCAGTACCATCCTGTTAAAAATGAATGCCTTGGCCAGTAATTTTTTCAAAACCTACAAATGTTTATAATTACTTGTAGAGAAAATAAAATAAATAAAACTAATGATATTAAAATTTTCTGGAATTAGTGTTAAGAATTATTTGTGCATATTGAAATTTAGCTTGGTATATGTGACAGATTAGTTGTAATCACAATTTTAATGATGTATTTTAGTTAAGAGATTTACAAAGTAATCCTCAGTACCCACCTGGATAATACAGGATGATCTGCGTATTAAACAACCAGGAATCTTTCTCTCGTTCATTATATAAATCATCCTTCCTGTTCCATTGTCCCACTCTTAATAGAGACATGGATATAGAGAAATAGTCTTTTACTCTAAGAAAAATGACAGTCCAACTCATTATTAATGTCAACAGGGGCTGGGGAGGACTCAGGCAACCCAGAGACCTGTCCTCATGCTCTGTAAAGAAAGAGACAGATCTGAGGGGCTGCCCTGTAGGATGGGACTCCAGTAGGGCCAGATGTGAATTTTGACCAGAGGAGGGGAACCTGGAAAATTTGGATTCGGTCAAAAGGCCACACTTAAGGATCTAGTAGACCGCAGGTGGCTCTGAGACTGCATATTCCCCACCCCTGCCTGGACAGTCTTACATGAAGATAACATCAACAACCACAACCACCATCACACTGTGGCCAACGCAGCCTTGGAGAGATGCAGCCCTGGGCTTCAGGCCTGGGGAGAAAAGCTTTCCTCTCCCCTCAGCATCAACCTTTCCCTTTGATGGCCACGGGGGCTGGGTCTGTGTCCCCCAGAAGATCCACCTCTCTCTCCTTTGCACAAAGTTTCCATTGTTTTGTTCTCTGCCATCCCTGAGGTTTAGGTGAAGCACTCACTGGTCCGGGACATCTCACAGCCCCACAGTGGGGTTAATGGAGCCTGTATCAAACTGAAGTTCATTGATTCATTCAAAATGTAGATATTTATATACAGTTTCTTTATGTCAATCACTGTTTTGATCCAAAGCAGAGTTAATGAAGCCTACATCAAGAGCCTTTCCCTGAGAAGTGTGTGAAATACCATAGTTGCTGGGTATAGGTGACCCAAAATATTCAATGATGCCCCATTTCCCCACTTTTTAAATCTATAAAAGATGCCATCACTGGAAAATTAATCCCAAGCCACAAGTCCTCATTTATGCAACATTAGAATAGCTCCTCTTCGAAGGTTTGTGATCTCACTGCATAACCACTTACCGTGATGCTTTAAAAGTCATCTTTCAATCTTGTTACCTGTTGTCTAGCACTTGCATAGGTGAGATTATGCTCTCAGAAATGATTAAGAAATCCCCTCCCACCAATTCCCAGGTGACCCTTACATGCATCTGAAACTAGCATTCATTGAGGGAGTCTCACAGTCCTCTGCTCTTCAAAATAAAGCAGAGGCCACCCCTTAGGACGAAATGCTTTATAATTGTGCAATTATGAAAAAACTTGCTTCCAAGGGATATTTTTCTAAGGGGGGATTCTCTCCTCAGTCCCCGATTCTGCGCTGTGATTCAGGGTAGAGGGGTGTATGAGTTTTCTAGGGCTACTATAACAAATGACTACAAACTGGGTGGCTTTAAAGAGAAATTGATTCTCTTGCAGTCCTGGAGGCCACAAATCTGCAATCAAGGTGTCAGCAGGGCCATGCACCCTCTGAAGGCCCCAGGGGAGGGTCCTTCTTCCCTGCCTCTTCGGCTTCTGCTGGCTCCAGGCATTGCCTGGCTTGGGCTGCAGCACTCCAGCCTCTGCCTCTGTCTTCACGTGGATTTCCCTCTGTTTTTTCTCCTCTTCT